CGGGCAGCGCCCAGGGTGCTCCGGGAGCGGGGAGCCGGGAGCCGGGAGCGGGGATGGGGAGCGGTCCCTCTTCCCGGGTGCGTGTGCGCAGCGCCGGCGGCGCCCGCAGCCTCTCCGCAGCCCCGATCGGCGCGGAGCGGGCTCGGCGCTGTCAGAACGGCCCCGCCCCGCCCTACCCTGCCCTGCCCTGCGGCGGCCCCGGCCCGTCCCCGGGGGCAGCGGCGGCCGCCGCCCCTTTCCCTCCCTCCCCTTCCCTCCCTCCCCGCCCGCGGTGCCGCCTCCGCCGCGCAGCCGCACGCCCCGCGCGGTGCGGTGCGGAGAGCCCGGCTCGGCTGCTGCTCCTGCGGTATTCCTTGCTAGACGGATGTAATTCCTCCTTTATTTTTCTTGGTCGGGGCGGGGCGCGGGGCGCGGGGGGCTGTCAGCCGGGCCCGCTGCGGGGCTTTGTGTGCGGGAGCGCCGCGCTGACCCCGCCGAGCTCCGGGTGCGGGGCTGCGGTCCGGGCGCGGCCATCGCCGCGGGTGCCGCGGTGCCCGCAGTTAGCGGCACAATGCGTGGGCTTGGTTCGGTTGTGTCGGGGCTGGCTCTGGCTGTTAGGTGGGTACAGGCCTGATTTAACAAAAAAAATATGGCAGACTTGTGCTAGAGACTGTGAGACTGCAGCAGCTCTGAAAAACCCTTGTTCATGGCAACCGGGGCTGACGTTTCATTCAGCAGCTGATGTTTTTCCTTTTGGAGTGATGATACAGAACTAGAGTGAGCACTGAATTTGTGATGTTGATGTCTTAATCGTGAATGAAATTGCATTCTTGTTTAAAGGTGAGTAGTGATCTGTGTTTCTACGTTGTGCTCTGTATTGTTGTGTAGGTAGAAACGCTAAATGTTCCAGATCAGGATTGCAGGGAGAGGGAATAAACACAAACTGTCAAGATCCGGAGCGTTCGGCTCATCCTTCGACCTCTATTGACAGGATACCAGCATTATGAAACCTGATTATTGAACTGTTCGGGAAAAGGGCTGGAATTCCCGCAGCCCGGCATCGTGCTGACAGGCATCTTGGGGAACAATCCTCCCCGGAGCCGGGGTTAGAGAGGCAGGGCAGGGAGAGGAATTTATTCCGAGAGATAGCAGCCGTGTGGAAATGTCAGGGGAGGCTGTGATTCCTCAGGCCATTGCAGGAAATCTCCGCTGGAGGAAGGACTTGCATATGCTCAGAAGGCTCTGGAGAGAGAGACAGGAGTGAAAATGGAATGGGATAAAGGGCTGGGAAGGTGGGTGATGGCAGCGGGGTGTGATTTTTAAAGAATTGTTCTTATCCTTGAGCTTTTTTTTTTTTTCCCCTCCGTGTTTCTGAGGAGAACAGAAATGGCTGTAGTGATGCCTCCATGACTTAGCAGTGGTTGTAGGGCTGTGAGGAGGGACGAGGGGCTGGCTCATGTGTCACAACTAGTGCTGAAGAGGCAAGAAAATAGGGAATATTTTGTTACTTCATGTGTATTTTGTTACTTCAGGAACATAAGCGTGGAATTATGGATGTGGAATCAGGAGGTCAGGTTCTGGAACAGAACCCGCTTTGGGTTTTTCTGTAATGCAGGTTAAGTGCAGCAAATGACACTCACTGAAGCAGGATGCAGCATTTTGGGATAAATAGGAGCTTGCAGCAGCCATGTGGCAAAAAGCGTTAGAGATGCTGTTTCATCTTGGTGGTGGCACGGATCCTGCAGCTTTTGGAATTGCTGTGTGTCACTGAGCCCTGCCTGCACACAGGAGTGGGGCAGAGAGGAGCAAAACCCTCTTGCTGCATACATGGAGACCAGGGTACTGCTGTGTGCTGCTCCAAGAGCCCCTGGGGAGTGGGAGTACAAACCATTTCACGAAAGAAGTTTTCTTTTTCCTTCATCATCTATAAAATGGAATCAGCTAAACCCCCTTTATTGGATGGGCCTGGATTGCTCGTTTGCATTACGTCACCTGACTAAGGATTTATTTTTCATGTGGGTCAGTTACGGGATGAAATATTTGTAGTTGGATCGCCTGCAAAATAATTGTATTTCATTAGCAAGGAGTGCGTGGACATCCTTCATGGAACACAGAGGAGAAAGTGTGTTTATGCAGATGTTTAAGGGTCAGACTGCAAAAGTTATTTAGCCTGTTAATCTCTATAGGCACCTAAATTCCTTAGTCATCTGATCTGGGCACAAGTGAACAACCAGTACAACAGTTTATCATTGCCCATTAGCCATGAGTCAGCTACTAAATCCTGCCCAGGCTGGTGTCTGTGGCTACAGGCTTCCTGATTGCCCTTTCCCTAGGGTCTAGGAATACCTCTGGAAGTGCTGGAGCCCCAGGGGCCAGACAGGTGACCTGTCAGGGCAAGGAGCCACTAGCTGCCCTGGGATGTCTCTGGCTCAGCTGAGGTTGGGCAGGAGAGCAGTGCAGGCTCTTTCCTGTGGTGCCTGGAAACTCCTGATGAGAGCAGGCCTGTGCTCCATGGTAGGAGCCCTGTGGAGCCACAAGAGCTTTCCTGGCATATCGGCTCCTGCTGTGGGCTGCTCCTGTTCCCAGCTGATGGAGCTGGGGAATTTGCCAGCACGTTGGACCCTTACCTCTGCTGAGGCTCATGGCAGTTTTCCCAAGTGAAACCAGCAGGAATCTGGCCTAAAGGTGTGAAATGTGAAAATCCAGTTGCCTTCTTTTGCTTTAAACCTGAGAAACCATCTCATGTTGGATTGTTCTGACCAGATACCACTTGTGTGGAGAAGCAAGTGTTGGAGCTGCAGCTCCACACCGAGGGGAGTGTGATCCATTGGGATCCGTGTCCTGCAGAGCCTGGTTTGGAGCCTGCTTCCCCCACTGCTGGGTTCTTTTCCCCCCCACCCACATGTGGTTTTCGTTTGTCAGCCTTTTATTATTACTCTTAAAATGATCTGCTGTGAATTTGTTTTTCTAATGAACATGAATACAATGTCGCAGCAGTTACAGCTTGACCTTTGGAGGCTTTTCCTGTAATGAAAAAAGGGTTTCAGAGAGATTACATGTTTTTTTAAAAAAAGAAAGATATAAGAAAAATTCTTCTTATGCCCAGTAGACCCCAACTTATTCAACAGCTTGATCAGAGTGACAGAGATCAATTCTGTATATATTTAAGCAGTCAGGTTTTTTTCTCTTTTGTCCAACTTTATTTCTTTTTCATGTATTGTTAATCCCAGACACATTTTTTACTGTCCATTCCTCATTAAAAAAGGCCAGTTTTGCATGGAAAAAAGCTTTGATGTGCGTTGTTAGGCAAGGGGTGAGTTCATAACAGATTTTATGGCTTGGGGGGGCTGTGTCTGGAAGTGTTATTTCTGCTTGCAGTGAAATGTATGTGATTATTGAAAGGTATGCACCAATGTATAAAGGTTGTACTAGGGGATTGTGTACATCTCCCTATGCCCAAGGACAGATTAAGGTTGAGGATTATATTGAGCTATTGTTTTTCATCACTGTTAACATTTTTCTCATCATCTTCTCTGTGAGGTTTTTTCTCGTTGAACGGTGATAATTTCAGGATGTTCTTACTTTGTCATGTCTTTTCACTTTTCTGCTATTCTCTTAATATATTATTTGATTGTTTACTATATTTACTCTCCTATTACATTGCACAAACTTGTATTTGTTTTTAAGATGCATGTGTTTTAGCCTACCAGAAACCCCTTTGGTGTGTCACCACTGCCACCAGAGGAACACATTTATGCTGCTGTGCTGCCACTTTTATTCCACAATGTGCTGAGTGTTAGAACTTTAAAAAGAAATGGTGAGTTGCTTTGGTTTGTTCAGCAGCCCCTCGTGTCAAGAGGGCAGTGGGGACTGAACAGAAGAGGCAGTGCATGTGAAGCCCTGGTGGCAGCAGATGCTGACCCACACCTGTTGGATGCTGGGAATAGCCTCGCTGGTCATACCCGTGCCCTTGGAACAGGAGAGGTGTGCCATTAACACTCTGTCCTGAGAGCTAAAAATACTCTGCCACCAAACTGTTCACAGGTAAATGTTCCAAATTTAGCGGTTTTTCTGTTTACTGGTTTTCCAAACATAGGCTGTTCCCTTTTTGGGAGAAGTAGCCAGACCTGCTGAGCAATTTGCCTGTGATCTGTGAAACATGTTCAGGAATGATGTTCCTGGATTTCATCTCGGGTTTTGTTCATGTGTTCAGAGCTGTGCACCAGAGGAAACAGTTTCTCCTTCTCTGTGAGAATAGGAAACACAAATGCAAATCATCAGAGAAGCTGTGGGCTTGCCTTGAAAAACAAAGTGTTTGTATTTTATTTTTAAGACAGGAATAGGGATTGACTGACAGCTCAGTTTGATTGGTGTGACCACTGGGTTTGGTTTTGTTAGTCACGTCTCAATACAACGTGGAATGATCCCTGGAATGGGCAGCTGCTACTCTGCATGAAATGTGGGGTCTGGGAAGAGACGTAGCTGCAGACCCAGATTTAGGATGTGACCAGAGAGGAAGAGATGCAGACCTGGAGCCACCCAGCCAAGCCCCACTACCCACAGGAGCGACTGGCATGGGATTGTAATGGCTTTGAAGTAGCCAACTTAATGAATAAAGCATTTATGCTCCATGTGTTCCATCTTGTAGGAAGCGCTGGAGTGGCTGTTGTGACCCTTCCTGCCCTCAGTCTGGGGGAACTCAGACACCTTTAGTTCTGGCTTTTGGTTTTTCAGCTTGCCTTGAGGTTTTGTAAAGCAGCATCACATTGAGGTCATGCCTGTGCTAAAATCTCCTGGCCAGGGCTGCAGTGGTGCCTGCAGAGATCAGGGAGGATCATGCCCCACCCCAAAATGTGGAGTTGGATTTTCCATTTTCTCCCTTCCTTGGAGGTGTCAGTGGCCGGGCCTGGGTGGGAGGTGCTCTGAGGTGACGCAGAGGTTCCTCTCCAAGCCTGGCCCTGACATTTTAAGGTTATACTGATTACCCACTTTATCCCAGGCAGACATTTTTCCCAAGCCAGACCTACAGGCTTCATTGGGAAGTCTTTAGTTTTTGCCGTGGGATTCAGCCCCAGTAGTGTCCCAAGAACGTGGTGAAGGTCTTCTACAAGGAGTTGTGGGGATTTCCTGCCATCCAGCAGTAATCCAGATCTGCAGCTTTTGGTTTTGTAAGTTCCTGCCTTTTGTTCTGAATTAATCCTATTGCTCTATGGATTGATTTATTAGGGAATGACCTGGGTATCTGCTTTTGGTTCTTGCATGATAAAAGGGAGCCTTGTGTTTGCAAGGGCAAGGAAACTGTGCATGGTGAGCTCTGGCAGCGTGGGCAGAGCCTGGGGTACAGTGGAGCTGATCACTCTGGGGTTGTGCACCAGGACCAAAAACTGATTTTCCCCACTCATTAAATCAATTTTGCTTAGTGCCTAGACACCACAAATGCTCCAGCTAATTATAGCAACTAGCTCCTCTGTTTTTTTGGCTTGGAAGGGAAAAGTTGCTGCCCGCTGTATGTAAACTAATTTAACGTAGATACATTTATTTGAACACTCACAGGTTTTGGATTTGGGCATTCCAGGTGTTGGCTTTTGTCAGTAGCTAAACCAGTGGTGAGATTTTTCTTGTCAAAGGCTTTCACTGACTTTTCTCTTAGTGAACAAATATTTAATGAAAATATTTCAGGGTCATCTGCACCAGTCCCTGCAGATGAGGTGGATGGCTTGTGGCTCCAGGGTGCCAGTGGCACCCACATTTATAGCAACACTGGAATGCAGCTTGGAGTTAATTTTTGGAAAGGGACTTTGGGCCTAGATCTGCCTTATAGAAGTCTGGGTGTTTGATACAGGAGGATCATCCAGTAGATCACCCTTTGCTAGAGCCTGGATCATGCAGTGAAGGAGTCAGGAGAGTTCTCTATAAGCTAGCAGGAATTCTTTGTCATGTAGGATCCATATGGGATAAAGATAACCTGGTTAATTTAACAGCTGCTTCTTTTTTTGCAATGTAAAATACTGTGACCTTTTTTGGAGCATAATGCCATGAATAACTCACTACAATTTCATCGTAGTAAAAGATGAATCGATTAATTGCTACCTTTTTATTTTTAACCTTTTTTTAAAGTAATGTATTCTTATAGCAATTTTAGATGCTTTTAAGAGGCTAGGTCCTGAGCCTGAAAGAAATCTGGCTGACTTTGGTGGGGCTACACTGATAATCACAAGTCAAAAAATCTGCCTTGCAGTTTTCAAGTTTTCATAAAACAAACACTGGAGCCTGTTGTGTTTTATTCTGTTGGTGTTTTTGGCATCAGAGAAGCTTTTCCTGATTGTTTTCCTCATTTGAAGGCTGATTGTACTGAGTGACCTCTTGCTACTAAAGGGTGGGTCAGTTTATGTGGGAAAGTCTTAGTCAATGTGTCTGGGAGATAAGTGGGACTGCATCCCAACGAGCCTTGTGCGTTAAATACTGGAATGTGCTGGGGAGCTGCCAGGAGATTGGAAGCAGGACTCTGCGACAAGCCCAATGCAGTCACACTCTCCCTAAAATAGCACTGTGGATAACAGGAGATCTGCAAAGTTATCACTTACCTCATTTTCGCACAAATTCTTTCCTAAAAATGGATTATTGACTGAGGATTCGGCGGGTTTTTCTGGTAATATATTCCATTTACATTTTGAGAGCAGTCATGTCCCTCTTAAGTCTTTGGCTGCAGGTAAGAGGGAAAAACCTTGTGAAACCACACAAGTCCCAGTACAGGAAAAGCCATTGGTATCATCCTCATCATCACCTGCATGAGAAATGAGATGGGCTTTACCTCAGTGTAGGTCACTAGGAGCCTCTTCAAATTCACCTTGAACAGTCTGGAAGTATCAAGGCAGAGATGAGTAAGTTCAGCGGCCTCAGACATGCTTGGGCTGGCTGTGGGTGACAGGCTTTTGGCACCAGCCCCTGGATGCAAACAGCCAGTGTTTGGATATTCAAATGAGCAGTGGTTTACCACTGCAGACCGTAGATGGTTTTGTTTAAGGGGGAAAAGAAGCAAACTTGATTTTCGGCCCCGTGTCAAATTTGTCGAGGGAAGAATCTGATTGTGCAGCTTTAGTGGTTAGCATAAGCCAGTTAAACATTAAACCTGGGGTGCCTGTATTAGTTTCTTACAGAAAGAGGATGAGTTGCAGCTAAATGGGATAGTGTGAGGAAAGTGCGGGGGCAGCGGGGTTGGGAGCAAGGTTGGGTTATCCTGAGTCAGCAGGTGGTTGTTTAGCCCTGGTGAGAGGCTGCCCGAGGAAAGTGTGGATTCCATGGAAGTGTGTTTGCACTGCTGCAGGGACCTGCACAAGGAGCTGTGTGAAAGGGAAAATAAAAGTGAGATTGTCAGGGAATCATAAGCTTGAGAACAAAAATTCTGGAGTGCTGTAAGTTGTGACCTCTTGGTGCCTGCAGATTTGAGGATGAGCTGCGCTCTTGGAAAGGCAAATGGATTAGAGGTCATTTCTGGAAAATGTCCCCCAGCTTCTGGTGTGCACTGCCAGCCTGATGTCACTTCAGCTCCTGAGCCCCTCAAGGGATGATTCCCACCAAGCCTGGACCAGGACTGCCATCCCTGGCCCCGGGAATTAGATCCACAGGGATTGTGCTGGGAGCAGAGCAGGGTCATATCCCCTGTGCTGCTGAGGTTCTCCATGGAGAGGACAGCTGCCAGGCTCTGCTCCCCTGCTCCACAATCCCTCGGGAAGGGAAAGCTGTGGCACTCAGGATGAAGTGGGGCGCTGTGGCTGTGCTCCGAGGCTGGCTGGGGAAGAGGACGTGGCACAGCAGCCCCACCCCTGTGCCCCCCGGGGGATTCCCTGACCCCAGGTGCCCCACTGATCCAGCTTTGCAGCTTCCCAGCGCCCGGGTGTGTAAAGGAGCTTTATTGCTGCTCCAAGGAGGGACATGATGACATCAAACCCAGGTAAGAGGGAAAGAGAGGTAAAAAACTGCAATCCAATGGAGTTTCACTGGGCTCTGCCTTCTGCAGTCTTGCGCGCTTTCAGGTTTTGTATCAGGAGGCATAAAAATTTCCAGAAATTGCAGTTTATGTAAGAGATGTGAATAATGGCTCATAATAAGTGAAACTGCCATGAGGAGCTGGAAGAGGGGGGAAGTAGGTTATTTTTAGAGATCTATTCTCATTGTATGCTAGACAAACAAGAATAAGGTGACTTTGCATTAAACATATACCACAAAGAAGTAAAGATATTTTCCCCAGACGAGTCCCCATAGTGCAGTAATGGTCTGTACTATCTGCCAGCTTAGGAATGAGGCTCAAAACTGCTTCTTCACTGTTTAGTAAGAAAAAAAGGACCTTCCATTCTTATTTTCATTGCAGTACTGTGATTCTTCTTGCTCTGTGAAGCTTGAGAATGAAGTATCTGAATCCCCACTTGTGCCAAGTTACACAACTACATCCCTGATGTGTCCATTTAAATCATCACAGTCTGGGACTTGAGGTTTTAAATCCTCTTCATAGAGAAACATGGACAAGAACATCTCAGGATCACAGAATTAACTAGGCTGGAAAAGATCTTTGAGATCATTGAGCCCAGCCTATATCTGAGATAATTTTGTCTTGCTCAGTCATGTTTCATGACCATTTTAGAAATGTGAAGATTGTAAAACAAGTGACAAGTTCCCAAAATGTTGGAGTCAGGGATGGTGATCCCTCTCCGTGGGCAGGTGACAGGGAGCACACAGCTCTTATCTAGCTGTGTTTTTAGTCTGAGTAATCCTAATCAGGTAGTAAATCCTGAGTGAGATTATGCTGCTGCAGCAAGTGCAGCAAAGATCAGCTGCAGGGCTGGAGCGGGATCTGGAAATGCCTGCTTGGATATTCACTGAGGCAAACCAGAACTTTGGAGGCTTTGTAGGATCTTCCTCTGAAGGAGTGGGAAGGAGCCCAGTGAAGACAAATGGTGTGCTGGCTGCAGCAGGGCTGACAGGTGAGGAGCACATGGACATTCCAGGGCGAGGCAGAGCGCTGAGGGATGTTTCTACAGCTGCTGCTGACCAGCAGAAAATAACATGAATCACTTGGGGTTGCAGTGGCACAGCAGAGCTGCTGCAGAGTTCAGAGAGTCCCAAAGTTCCTCGGATTCCTGGCATGGGGCGATGAACCCCCGCGTCACCTTTAGGGCAGTTTTCTGAGCAGAACATCCATGTTATTCCAGGGTGCCTCTAACAGGAGGACAGCTGTTTGCAGTTTTAACTTCTGGTTGTCATAAGCTGTGGCAGGAATCCAGGGAGCCATGGAAGAGCCCTGGGCCTGAAATTAATTTTCAGCCAACTAGATTAGATCGGCGCCTGTAGCAGACTTAGCACTACAATTTTATGTGTGTTTTGGGATAAATGTGGCCCCTTGCTGGTGTTTAGTAGCTTGGCCATCATATCTAAAGGAGACCTAGGAGGGCATGCAGATACATAAAACAAGGCACAAAATTATCCTTGCATGCATTTTTAATGCTCTGCTTTGTGGAGTGATCAAACCAGTGCAATTTGATGGGGATGAGCATTGAGAAATGGTCACTATGCATCAGCACAGCTGCTCCATCAGAGGGGAATGAATTCCCAAATTGCATCCCAAGCATGTTATTAGAGGATTAAAGAGCAGGGCAACTCACCTTGGCTAACTGTCCTGAAACTGTGCTCCACTCATCATACATATAAATAACTATTATGCAAATATTACTGGAGCAACAAAGCAGGTTTTGAATTTGCTTTGTGCCTTGCAAATGACCAAGTCTCTTGTCTCAGTGTTCCAAATGATGATCTTGTTTTCCCCAAACACAAAGCACTGAAATTACCTGTGCAGTAATTAGAATATACCACTCAATTCCTCTTTCCCTGCATTGGTCTCAGCGTACAGTAGCAGACTGGAATGTTTGGTACATAATTTCCTTCCTTGATTAAGATTTAAGAAGATTTCCCATTTGGGCTGTCATCAGGAGAAATAAATCTTTGTTCCTTTTAAAAATTCGCCCATTCCGGTTTTGACTGACATCACCTTCTGCCTGCACATGTCTCTGCAGAGGGGAAACTGCCTCAGTTTGTACCAGGAGAGGTTTAGGTTGGATATTAGAGAAAACTTCTCCATGCAAAGGGTTGTCCAGCCCTGGCACAGCTGCCCGGGGGG